GTTAACAAATCACGATATGTCCGGGAAAAATTACCGACCTCCTCCCCCCTCCTGCTCGCCAACCAGGGACGTAGGAAGCATCAAAAGATGGGGGGGGGCACCGGCTTCTGGGGGCACTTTAGGGTATTGAAAAGGGACGACACCTAAAAACATTTCCCGGAAATGTTGGCGACGGGGGAAGAAGAAAAATTTTCCCGTCGTACCATACCGAAATTACACGTTTTTGACCAAATTTTTTTAAAAAACTTGCAAATTTCCAAACAAAAAGGGCACCTTTGATGTTCATTTAGTATTTACAGCGACATTAGCTTGTACAAAAAGGGCACTTTTCATCACAAAAAAGGGCACTTTTAGTCCTTTGAAAAAATTTGGGGAGGCACGTGCCCCCCCCCCCTGGTTCCTACGCCCCTATCGCCAACAATTTTGGGGACAAAATACTAATTAGCGACTCAAATGTCTTCGGCAAAATGGGATACTACACCCCCCCCTTCTTTATCCTCTTCACGCCCTGGTTACTCCTGTGTTGTGTCTTAAGATATTAAGAAATTGTCTGAGCTATTTCAGGGGGTGGATAAGACTTGGGTGGATATGAATATTCAAAACAATGGAATGTTGAATGCTGAAGTAAAAAATATTCTATTTCCAGCCCCAAGATAATTCGAATTTTTATGCAATGTGACTCAGTCCTGTTTTAGCCCTGTTTTTACGTATGTTCAAAAGTTTCTGCTACTTGCGCATGCTTACGCCGGCTAGTTCCGGGGGGGGGAGGGGTAGCCTGCATGCGTGTCGGGGGGAGGGGTGAAGCAAAATGTTCGATGTAAACAAATATGGCTGCTTCGGAAGCACTTCCTTACGCAAAAAGTGTTTTTAATGGTTTGTATGACTCAATATTTGGAATAATAACGTTCTTTAAACCTATATATCAAAAGCAAGACAACATTCATAATGTGACTGCACAAGAAACAGAAGAAATTAATACAAACAGAACTAGGAGGCGACTGAGGCCGACAACAACAACGCAAAAAACTCAGAGGTTGTTATTAAACTTATTGTATTTAAAATGTGCTGGTTGTGTATTATTTAGAATATAATAGCATACCTATGTCATGTAACAAAAACTATTTGGTCTGAAAGAGAACCCTAGCCAGCTAGCCTAGACCTCACCCATGCCATGATGCGCAGTGGTGGACACTTTGTGAAATGATATTTTTTGTGTGTGTTTAATACTGTAAACTTATCAGGGATCTGGGACAAGGTCATGCCAATTGAATTAAGGTATCAGCTTACTGCAACCCGCCCGTGAGAAATTATTAATAGGACATTGCAGAAATGAAGTGGCTATTTGCCAGTGTGGAAAGTTTGTATCGCGCGGAGGATATCTCCGGCGCGCAATTTTGATGCTTTCTATGTATTCACTATTAAATTTTCGAAATCTCTGGCGCGCAATTTCCAAACTTTCCAGTCTGGGCTATTTGTACGACACCTGTATCCTAACATCGGTGTGCTATCCCCAAACCCTTCCCTAACCAATAAATGTCTAGCTAATATACAATTTGAGAGTTAACCCATTCAGCTGCAGAGCTTTCCCACTGACAAGTATTTAAAATCGTCTGGCGTAAGACACTCAAGTAAAAAAAAGTAGGATGCACTGGGGCACATTGCTGCTCAATGGGTTAACTGGAGACATTGTCAGATTTTTTGGTTAGCCCATTAAGCTGCAGAGCTTCCCCACTGACGAGTAAAATTGTCTGGCGTTGAACAAGTAAAAAAAAGTATGGGGCGCATTGTGGCTCAATGGGTTAAAAATTAGTCAGAAAAAAGTTTTAAGAAATTTTAAATTTCGATCTAAGTGAAACAGAAAACCATCGACTAAAATTAAAGTAGGTCCGACATTGTTTCACTTTGCATGCACACACATGCTACTGGCAATCTTGCTGAATATTTTTGCAAAAATACCATTTTATATTAATAAAATTAATTATTAATACAAAATGTACTGTAAGATTCAGGTACCATACTCTCGTACAACATTACTCTGTATGTTCCAGAAAACAATGGGTGCACCTCCCCTACAGACGAAATTGGAAATTATTATTAACTCACTACCTCTTTTGGATGTCCTAGTACATTAAATTTACTTATCAGAAGTACACTTTGCCCCTTCACCCTTTGGATGGAGTGTGTGTAGATCATTTGTGGAATGACACAATAAAACTACAGTGAGAATATGAATGACACTGCAATATGCCAATAATCCTTCCAAAAACAATGTCACTTTAGCAATATGTATATAAGCATCGTTTTCGTTTCACAAAAATGAGGACCCATTTGCCAAGGTGACATACATTACAGAAGGATGACTTGTGTATTTAACACATCATTTCAGAAAACTTGTTTGAAAAATGCAATTTTGAGTGGCAATTAAAATCACCCGCTTCACAGGCAACCAGCATCAAATAATGGCAGCATTGAGGATATTAAAATTTACTCACTGATAAACTTTTACTGAATAGATTGAGAAGGAAATAGTGAATATATTTATGTAAGCTTAACCCTTAATATACGTACCGTTTTGAGGACTCTCATGAAAGTCACTTTGATGACCGAGATCTTCTTATAAAAGTATACTTAAATTAAATTGAAATACATAAATAATATATACCTTAGTTGTCACACGGTTGCATTTACTTATATGTCTACATTGGAGAACAAAACACTGCATGACCATTTTCTATTTTATAAATTTTGCTTCCGCCCTCAAGTTTGTGAAAAGCTGTCATATGTCACATAGTGACACATACGGTAATTTATCCTCATTGCATCAGTAGAATGCACATGGGCGTACCTGGCGGAGGGGGCGGCAGCCCCCCCCCCTTGTTTGTTGGGCAAACAAAGCCAGTCGGGCAATATTTGCTTCACAGTCAGGCAATATTGGCTTATTATAAAAATAAATGGGACAAATTCTGTCAATTTTGGAAAGTGGGAGATTTGGAAAGTGGGAGAAATTTTGGAAAATGGGACAAATTCTGTCAATTTTGGAAAGTTTTTGCGGAAATTTTTTTTTGACAACTCGGGCACAATCCGAAGTCGGGGAAATTTCTTTCCGCCCCCCTAATTTTTTCCTTCCCGTATGCCCATGAGAATGCATTAATATGTCATTGTGCGATAATTCTCTATATAATTATCATACCCATAATTAAGTTGACATCACTAAATCCATGTTTGGTTTGCCAAAATGAGTTGATATGATGATTTCACGATTTGCTGTTAGCTTATCAGAAAAAATGAATTCTTTTAAATGTTAAATCCAATTCTTTTAAATAATACCTATTCATTTTGATAGCAAATATGGATATTATTTTCTGTTACAGCTATAAAGAAATATATTCCATGATGATGCAATGTTGTATTTTAAATGGAGGGATATTTTGGGTAGGTGTGTCAATCTTGTATAAAATTTTCTTTTTACATGGATGTTGGTGTCTCTAAAAAAGAAAATATTTTTTGTCATCATGCAACATTGATTTGGGAGAGAGGTCTAACATTGTGAAAATTGATAGAGTTTGCACTTTCCCACTTTAGATCTGCCAAAAATAACGGAACTATTATGAAAAAGCCTGACAAAAGAGTCTGTTCAACTTTCTCAAGAACTGAATTAGGGAACCAGATCAGTGTTGCAAGGATGCCATCTTTCCAAAAAATATTTAATTTTTGTCTGTTTTTAGTGCCAAAACAAAGTCAGTTGACTTGCAAAGTCAGTTGACTTTCAAATTAGCCAGGCCAAATTGAAACCTGCCTTGCTCTAGGCCACATATCTGCCAC